TAATAATTTTTTAACTGAGAAAATAATAATAATTTATTTTCGCACTCTTTTATGAATAAATTTATTTAAATTTAGTCAATATTTTTTTAGGTAATCTAAAAGATATTTTCTAAATAAAAAAATGTTAATAATATATATTGAATAAATTTACTACTAATTAGCAAACATTTACTAAATATATTAGCAATAAATTATATATTATTTTATCGTTATCAGATTTTTAATCAATTAAAATATTTAAAAATATTTTTTCTTTCAATTAAAACAATACAATCAATAATGTTTTATTTATTTTTCAAAAAAAAATATAACTAATTTTATTTAATATTTCTAAATATTTTTATTGTAATATTTTGTTGAATACTTATTAATAAAATAAATCATTATTTCAATTAATTCAATTGTTTATTTTATAGCAAATATACTGTACATTTATATCAATGAAAATTATTCAATAAACGGTATTTTTTTAAATTTTAAATTCAAAAATATATAATTAATTAATTAATTTTTGGCAATTTGCCACAAGTTGCTAAAAATAATTAATAAAAAAAAACATTTTGAATTTAATATTTTATTTATAATTTTGTTTGTTATTTAACAAAACAAAAAAAATTAAAACTTTAATAAAAAGTTTTATTTCTAGTGAAATAATAAAAATTACTTTATTTATAATAATAAATGTAAAATAAAAAAAAAATTCAAAAACCATTAGATGAAAGACAGTGCCGACAACAGTATAATAATAATAATAATATTATTATTATTATTGTATTATTGAATATATATTTAGGGGCTCTTTGTATTGAATTACTAGTATAACAATCGGTTACAACAAAATAAAAAGCAAAAAAAAATTTAATATTAACTTTCATTTCCGGTTTATTTATTTTTTTAGACAAAACAAAAATTAACACAAAAAATTATATATTTTTTATATGATATTAATATAATTTTTTTTTGTTTAATAAATTATAACCAATTGGTTTCATATAAAAAACAAATGAAATTCATTGCCGATGATCGCCGCCGCCAGTCACGGATCGGACGTTTTCTGGATAAATCCCGTTTGATTGTCTATCTGGAGGTCGACTGTTTTGACTATTCGGGTCATTGGCCACGTTTCCGACGGCAACATCCATGTGCCGTATTGTGCGGCAAACGGTAAGCAAAAAAAAAATAAAATAAAAAGTTATCTAAAATTGATGGCTAAACGCCTCCAACACCTCCTCCTCCTCACTGAAGATTAGTTTCACTGAATAGCGAAGCGATTGCTTTGGACGCCGCTGAAGGTATGACCAGACATCAGGCCCGCCGATGTCGTGGTCTAATACTGGCCAACAAAACCGATGACTATATCGTTGGGGGAAAAGGGGATGAAATAGATTATCAGTCGACAGTCAATAAATTTCGGAAAACTATTGGCCAGTATTGCAATGATAACAACTATGTGTCCGTAATTGAATGGTCGTCGCCGTCGACGGCCACCACCAGTCTGTACATGGATTTGACCGAAATGACCAACGAATTTGTCACGAATTACGATAATATCTATTATGCGGACACAATACAGACCGGCCGAGCACTGGTCGAAGGACCCGAACATCGATATCTGTTTGTCGACAATAATCAGGGACTAGTAGTAGTCAGAAAAAATGTCGGCAAAAATCGTATGACCAAAGCCCTGGACTTTGTTAACGGTATGCATCGGTCAATACTTGCCGAGACTGGCCACGAATGTTCGGCTGGTATAAGCTATAACAAGTTTCTGGCCAAACTGGCCGCCCGATTGAACCGACCAATCGAAACAACTGTTTTGGTCAATACGGGTGGTATCGGTCGGGTGATGACCGGCTAACCGTTGATGATGTTTGCAGTGATAATAATGAGATGATCGGCTGCGGCGACGGCAGTGGTGGCGGTCAAGAGTTGGCCAAACGTATTAAATCGGAACTCGGAGTCCATCGATGGTCTGAATTGCTAGAGTTTAGCACCGATGAGTTAATGTCAAATACATTTCCAATCTATTGTCATGTTTTCGGTTTAATTTCAATAGCAATCGGTTGTCTCTATAGTCGTACAAAAAGTTTAAGACAAACCATTGATGGGTGTAATCGTGATATTGATAGACCAGACCAGCCATAAACATAACCAATGAACAGTCAATACAAATAGCAGACAGTATTTTCCAATTACCTAATATATAGTTACTGTCGGCTACCAGTGCCCGGATGTCGGGTCGTCCATTGGCACAGATTACCGAAATCGTAAAACGTATGGTAAACATGAATACCATTGATTTGATAAAAATCATATAAAATTGGCGGCTATTATGTCGGCGATGATTGACATAGTCGTCGATAGACCGATGGATAACATGTTGTTTGACTAAATATTCATCCAATTTATTAACTATATATTGATTAGACATTTAAATATTCAATATATATATATATATATATTATTTTAATTTTTTAATTTAAATTAAATTATTTCTTTTAATAATAGTTTATATACAATAGGAAGTAAAATGAAATTTTTTAATAGCTATTTAGCTATTTTTTAGATAGTTTTCTAACAAACTTTATTTTTTTTATTATGTTTAATAGTATTATTTGTATTTAATGTGATTTTTTAAAATATTTTGTAATAAGATTTAACATTAAATATATATATATATCATTATATCATACTATAATTGTATTGCCATTATATTTGATTAATTATAGCAAAATTACTTTAATTATATACATTATACAGTATAATTGCACATTATATTATACACGATAAATATAATCTGTATAATTAACATTAATAATTTGTTCACTTATTTATCTATTTATAGTAAGTAAATATATTAAGATAGTTAATTATAAATATAATAATAATACAGTAATACTAACAATTAAAAAAAACCATAAATTATAATTATTTTTAAATCTTTATATTATTACAACATTTCTATTGAATTTTTTTTTGTATATCTATGTGATAATATATTTTTTAATTATTATAATTAATACCAATAATAACCTATTTTATTTGTTCCAAAATATAATAGTCAATAATATAATATTAATAATATTAACAAAATAAAGATTTTCGATTGAAAATTAATTTATTATTTTTTATTATTAATTAATAAAAATATACATATAATAGATATTTTAATTACTGTATATTATTATGTTAAAAATTTATACAGTATTCATATGAATGATATAATAGAAATATATTAATGTCGATAAATGTTGTTATTGTAATAAAACAATTAACTAAATAATAAAGTTTTTTTTTATTAATTAAAAATCTATTATAATGATTACAATATACAGTATATACATATATAATGTTGAATAAATTAAAATATGTTTTTAATATGAATTAAAATTATTTCTATAACTAAAGTTAACATTTTGATTTAGATTAAAAGTTTATTAATGTATTAAAATTTCAATTAAATTATTTTTGATATATTGAAAATTTTGAATTACTAATTATATTTAATTAATTAAAAAATAATTATGTCAACTAATATTATTATCAGTTTATTGTGGATTTTATTTATCTATAAAATACTATTTCATACAACAGAGTACTTGAAATACCAGACAAACAGTGAATTATATTTCAATAAATCTTATCGTTTATTGTTATTTAGTTTCTCTTGCTATACAACAACAACAAAAATCTAATTAAAAGTTTTAAAAGTTTAATATTATATATATCTATTGTAAGTTCATATAAATAACTGTATAATTTTACTTAATATTTATTACGGATATATATATAATATTTATTTAACTTTCTATTAAATCTATCAATAGGTTATGATTGATAAAATATATTGATATTTGGATTATTTTTTGAAATGTATTGTTAAATCAAGATTTTTTTTAGATTAATATAAAAAAATTTTTAAAGATATATATTTTATTTAAAAAAAACATTACTTAAAAATGATTTGTTTTGATTATTATTGTTATGTTTATTATAATTTATAAAGTAGTGTTTTACTCTAGGTAAATTAACAAAATATTTTTGTTCTAAGTTAAATAGTATTTATAAAAAACTAAAACTAAATTTTAATTACACAAATAAAATGTAATTTTTTTTATTAACAAAATTAATACACTTTTTTAAAATTATAAAATATAACTAAAATATTATTAATTTATATTTTAATTTAAATTAGATTAAATTTAAAATTATTAAAAATAAATATAAATATATATATACTTATTGATTGATTAGGTTATGATAGTGTGATGACAACTGATGAAAATTTTCAAACTGATTGATGTTTTTTTTTTAAAAAAAATTCCGATTAAAAAACTTGTATCAGCCGTCTATAGCTTAAAAATGTTGACAATATTTTACTATTAAATTATTTTTTTTTTTAAATATAACAACTTTTGTATATCTTTGAATTTACTGAGAATTTATAGTTAATATACTGGTAATAGATTGGAAATTTAGAGGGAATTTATAGTAAATTTAATGGGAATTTTGGCAAAAAAAATTTTCATTTAAAAAATGCACTAAAAATTATTCACCTATACCTATACCCTCAAGTTTTATGGTCGAGATTTTTGCCATTTTACCCTCACCCACCCCCCCATATACCCCCACAAGAAATTTAAAAAAAAACCTTTAGCAACCCTTATATATATATATATATATTTATCAGTAATTATTAAAATTATGCTTATAATAAATTACAGAAAAATCTTTTAAAAAATCATTAGTTTTTTTTATATATAAAAATCTATTAAATTAAACTTCTATGCTTATTATTATATATTATCTAATTAAATTGTTAAAATAAATTAAATTAGGTTTATTTTTTATAAAAAAAATATGTTTTTAAAAAATTAATTAACTAGTCTAGTAAAAACTTTAGCGTCATTATAATTAGAAATAAATTAATAAATAAATGATTTTTTTATTAAATTTTATAAAAATTATATAGAATACTATATTACAATATAAGCAGAAAAATAAAAATCATTTTTTTGATGGTATTAATTATTACATTAAAATTAAAAATAAAAAATGAAAGCAACAATTATTAATTTTTGTTTAACAACTATTATTTTGTTGTCCAACCAATTGATCAGTGGTTAGTATTTTTTTTGTAAAATTTTTTAGAAAAATAATAATAATAATAATAATAACTACAATAGCAATTAAAATTCGCAAATAATTTGCAAAAATTATTATTATTGAAAAAAATTATACATAAATTAATTAATTATTATTTTTTTTAATGAAAAAAAATAGTTAAAAGTGGTGCCGAAGATGTTGACGATAATCCCGATTCCATAATAATAACTTACCCGGGTACTCATCATCGGGAAAAATTTGAAGGCCGACCCGAAACCGAAATAATTTTGACTACTACTGATGATGATCACGAAACCCTAACTGATCCGGATAATTGGTTTCGGGATCACCTTAAATTAGATGGTCGACCCGAACCTCCACACAAGGGACCACATCGGGAAAAATTTGAAGGTCGACCCGTTAATGATATGTAATTTGTTGAGAGAGAGAGAGAGAGACAGAGACAGAGAGATTATGGGTTTAAACAGTAAAAAAAGTTTTTTTTAATACCAATTAGACTGAACTAACTAATGAAACTAATTTAATATTAAAATTATAAAATAAATCTCTTATTAATAAAACCAGATATAAAAACCACAATCCGATATCACATATATATATATAAACAATTAGAATAAAATAATATAGTATTTAATTTTTTTTAAATGTATCTATAAGTTAAAACTATAAAATAATTTTATAAATTAAACTAGTATACAATTATAAATAAAATTATATGAATTACTATAAAATATAGTTTAATTGTGTATATGTGTGTATATGTGTGTATATGTGTGTGTATGTGTGTGTATGTGTGTGTATGTGTGTGTATGTGTGTGTATGTGTTTGTATGTGTGTGTATGTGTGTGTATGTGTGTGTATGTGTGTGTATGTGTGTGTATGTGTGTGTATGTGTGTGTATGTGTGTGTATGTGTGTGTATGTGTGTGTATGTGTGTGTATGTGTGTGTATRTGTGTGTATRTGTGTGTATGTGTGTGTATGTGTGTGTATGTGTGTGTATGTGTGTGTATGTGTGTGTATGTGTGTGTATGTGTGTGTATGTTTATATGATTTCCTTTAACGTTAATTGTATTGCTACAACTTGCAAATCTGGTCACAATATTATTTTATATATATAATAAAATTTGTGAAATAAATATTATTTATATATTATATATACTAGCGTTGGCTGAGACAAAATTTTTGTATTATACATAGTCAAATAAAACAATTTGAAAAATTTGTAATTTGTAAAATATTTATTTCATAAATTTTTTTAACACATACAAATTCATTTGAAAAAAATAACATATGATATAAATCTAATATATTTTTTATTATTGTATTGTTGTTTTGTCACGATATCTCTAATCCTAACCTAAAGCCGGATTAAATGGCGGTTGTGTATGGGGTGGCTGATCCTCAAAACCATTGTAAGCATTGGTTATCTCGTAAGCTGTTGACTCCCATTCAATTTTCATATATCTAAAAGTTGTTGTCTCGGTCACTATATATTTATATATATATATACAAACAGATATATATAGATAGGTATATACAGACAGATATATACAGACAGAGATATATACAGACAGATATATACAGATAGGTATATACAGACAGATATATACAGATAGGTATATACAGACAGATATATACAGATAGGTATATACAGACAGATATATACAGATAGGTATATACAGACAGATATATACAGATAGGTATATACAGACAGATATATACAGACAGAGATATATACAGACAGATATATACAGATAGGTATATACAGACAGATATATACAGACAGAGATATATACAGACAGATATATACAGATAGGTATATACAGACAGATATATACAGATAGGTATATACAGACAGATATATACAGACAGAGATATATACAGACAGAGATATATACAGACAGATATATACAGATAGGTATATACAGACAGATATATACAGATAGGTATATACAGACAGATATATACAGATAGGTATATACAGACAGATATATACAGATAGGTATATACAGACAGATATATACAGACAGAGATATATACAGACAGATATATACAGATAGGTATATATAGACAGAGATATATACAGACAGATATATACAGATAGGTATATACAGACAGATATATACAGACAGAGATATATACAGACAGATATATACAGATAGGTATATACAGACAGATATATACAGATAGGTATATACAGACAGATATATACAGATAGGTATATACAGACAGATATATACAGATAGGTATATACAGACAGATATATACAGATAGGTATATACAGACAGATATATACAGATAGGTATATACAGACAGATATATACAGATAGGTATATACAGACAGATATATACAGACAGAGATATATACAGACAGATATATACAGATAGGTATATACAGACAGATATATACAGATAGGTATATACAGACAGATATATACAGACAGAGATATATACAGACAGAGATATATACAGACAGATATATACAGATAGGTATATACAGACAGATATATACAGATAGGTATATACAGACAGATATATACAGATAGGTATATACAGACAGATATATACAGATAGGTATATACAGACAGATATATACAGACAGAGATATATACAGACAGATATATACAGATAGGTATATATAGACAGAGATATATACAGACAGATATATACAGATAGGTATATACAGACAGATATATACAGACAGAGATATATACAGACAGATATATACAGATAGGTATATACAGACAGATATATACAGATAGGTATATACAGACAGATATATACAGATAGGTATATACAGACAGATATATACAGATAGGTATATACAGACAGATATATACAGATAGGTATATACAGACAGATATATACAGATAGGTATATACAGACAGATATATACAGATAGGTATATACAGACAGATATATACAGACAGAGATATATACAGACAGATATATACAGATAGGTATATATAGACAGAGATATATACAGACAGATATATATACAGACAGATATATACAGACAGATATATATATACAGACAGATATATATACAGACAGATATATATATACAGACAGTTTTATTATCAATATTAGATTTTTTTTAGACTTACCGCCACCATCTTCATCATCACCATCTGATATGGTATCATCACTAGGAGTGGCAAATTCTAGATCAACCTGTGTTTGTAATACATGAATCATCATTAATATAATTAAAACAAACTTTATCATCATCATAATTTTTAAGTTAATCATTAGATCTTTAGATTATTTATAATTTTTTAGAAAAAATAAATAAATAAAATAAATAAACTTTAACTGTATATTCATATAGCCTTATTAAAAAAATGAACGAAATTTTTTTTAAACATATTAATTTAATTAGTTAATAGCAAATACATATGGTCTATTTTTATTTTCACGAACTCCTAAAAATGAGTACATATCTGAATTCTATATGTCCTTTAGTCCTTGCGCTTTTTATTAAATTTTTAAATTTTGACTTATGATTTGGATTAAGCATAAAATATAAGATATATGGGATCAGCATTAAAATTTTGATAACTCTTCGGGACCATAGAAAAAATGGCGGCCAAAGTAATAAAAAAAATTAAATTTTAATCTATAAATTTCAATACCGCATCAAAATAAGGTATACAGTATGTGCATTAAAAATTTTTAAATATGACATTTGATCTTATAAAGTTACTTAATTAAAATTATAATTTAATTTTTTAATTTGGATAAGGAGTTCGTATGGAAATGCTATTTAGCATTCTAAACTGGTTAGATATCTAATTTTATAATTATTATTTGTTTATTATAATTATAATTTTTTTTTTGTTAGATGGTTGCCAAAGTGTTAAGATTTTAATCTTGATTTTTTTTCAAGTGTTATGTCAAGTGTCAAGGTCAGTATAAAAACCTTGACATTATAATTTACAGTATAATAATTTATAATAATATTTTTTTTAAATATATAATAAATTACATTATTAAAATTGATTTTGTTTGGGTATTTAAATAAATTTTTAAATATATAATTTTTAAATATATCTTTATATATCTATTATTATTTTTATTTAACAAACAATTTATAATTAATTTTTTAAAATAATTATTTTTATTGAAATTTAAAAGAAATTTAAGTTAAATTTCTTTATAGTGTAATTTTTATTATTTTACTTTAAATTATCATGAATATGATATTTTTAAATTTTTGGCATATATCATAAATGTAAAATTTAATACAAATACTACAAAACTAAAAGTGTTTAAATTTTCATAAATATTTTGTTCATTTTTTTATAAACATATATATATATAAATTTATATACAGTATATATTCACACATACATACATACATTTTAAAAATATGTAATTACATTTTATAAAAACCAAACTATAAATATATATGTTTTAAATATTATATTTTTATATTTTTAGCATTTAAATTATAAGCAAATTTATATGTAACATTTTACATATTTTTAAATAAAAATTAAAAAGCCCAGTCTTTTTTAAGTTTATTGAAAGTACTCTTATTTTTTTTTGTTAATTTTTATTTGGCATTTCTATTCAGTATTTAACGTATGGTTTTGAAAATATGAAAATTTTAAAATAAAAAATCTTAGTTAAATTTCTGTAATAACAAACAGTAAAAATTAAATTTTTTTTAATATAAATTTATAAAAAAAACACACATGTAAGCTACATTTTTAAAAAATGGATATTAAATATCTTAGTATAAAATTTACAATCAAATAAATGTAATTGTAGAATAGATATTGTTAAAAAAAAATTTTTTTGAATATAATATTAAATATATAAAATAAAATTAGATATTTTAATTAATTATTGTATAATATTTATAGAAAATATTGTATTATTTATTAATTATAAATGTATTTAAAACGAAACAAATATTTATTGCGATTTAATTATGTACTTTAAACTAATATTAATAAGTAAGTAGATATAGTATTATCATAAAGATAAATAAGCTAAAAATTTTATTTATTTTTTTTAATTTAAAAATAATTTTTATAATTTTTTAGCAAATTTTATTTAACAAAAAGTTTATAATTTAATAAAAATTAAATAATAATTTGTTAGTTTTGTTTTGGATTGTCTATCGATTGTATGACTGTCCCATTCATACCACAAACACTATCCCAATGTAACACTCAAGGGATGTGGTATCGGACGGCAGTCACTGATGTCGAGTGGAAAGTGCTTTAAATGGTTATCCAATACAACAACAACAACAACAATGGATATACATTTGGGTCGTAACGCACAACCGGGTGAAGTGCCGTTCATTGTGTTTATTAAAATCGGAAATTAGTATATCTTTTAGATAATTAATTTTTTTTAATTAAAAATTATAATTATATATATATGTAAGACATATGGGAAAAATTAAATCTAAACAATAAATAGTTTTGTTTTATTTAATAAACATTTCTCAATATATCTATTTTGTTTATAATATGTGTTGTCCACTATTGAGACACTGGGTTTAATTAATGTTTTATATTTTTCTCCCTATCAAGGCTTATTTGGTTTAAAAAACTTAACTTTTAAAGTCATAAAACTAATACTTCCCGAGTAGCGAATTATACCAAATTTGATTTCAGAGTACTATAACTATAAACAAATAATAATTAATTGGTACAAACTTTGTACAATCAAACCCTAATAAGTTACAGACCTCCAAACATGTCCCATAAGTTGCATCAATACTTAGTCCTCCAATGGAGTACTAATGCAACAATGAATCTGACCTCTGATTGGTAAGTACCAGAGCCATTGACCTCAACAGTATGTATTATAAAAGCAATTGTTAATGAGATCCCTATACGGGATACAGGATTCACTTTTTTAAGACATCAACTCATTGATGTATTATCCTAAGTTTTATACAATCAAATGTTATACTATTACTATATATTAATCAATGTATTTAATCTAATTGATTATTAAAATTTAATAAATTACAAACATGTTTATCTAATAACTTGTGTATCAATTCATTTATCACCATCAACACCACCATCAATATCACCATCAATATCACCATCAACAGCAACAACTAATAGACTAGTGGTTAAAACCACTCGACTGCATATAAAATACTACAGTATTATATAATAATACTAATAATATAACTGCTAGTCTTATATATATATATATATACAGTACATGAAATCTTTTTGAAAATTTTTAAAAAATTTATTAATAGTTTTTTAATATTATAAAATATAACTAAAATATTATTAATTTTTTATTTTAATTAAATTAAATTAAAATTATTATTATTATTATATATATATATATATATATATATACTTATTGATTGATTAGGTGATAGTGTGGTGACAACTGATGAAAATTTTCAAACTGATTGATGTTTTCAAACAATCCGATTGAAAACTTGCATCAGTTGTCTATAGCTTAAAAATGTTGATAATATTTTAAATAAATAAAAATTTTAAAAAAATTATAACCATTTTGTGTGTATGTGTGTGTGTGTGTGTGTGTGTGTGTGTGTGTGTGTGTGTGTGTGTGTGTGTGTGTGTGTGTGTGTGTGTGTGTGTGTGTGTGTGTGTGTGTGTGTGTGTGTGTGTGTGTGTGTGTGTGTGTGTGTGTGTGTGTGTGTGTGTGTGTGTGTGTGTGTGTGTGTGTGTGTGTGTGTGTGTGTGTGTGTGTGTGTGTGTGTGTGTGTGTGTGTGTGTGTGTGTGTGTGTGTGTGTGTGTGTGTGTGTGTGTGTGTGTGTGTGTGTGTGTGTGTGTGTGTGTGTGTGTGTGTGTGTGTGTGTGTGTGTGTGTGTGTGTGTGTGTGTGTGTGTGTGTGTGTGTGTGTGTGTGTGTGTGTGTGTGTGTGTGTGTGTGTGTGTGTGTGTGTGTGTGTGTGTGTGTGTGTGTGTGTGTGTGTGTGTGTGTGTGTGTGTGTGTGTGTGTGTGTGTGTGTGTGTGTGTGTGTGTGTGTGTGTGTGTGTGTGTGTGTGTGTGTGTGTGTGTAGTAATTGGCTAAATAAGTTCAAAATTTAAACGACATTAAATAAACCAAAACAAAATATTTAAATTAATTTTTATATATAATTATTTATTTTAATATATATATATAATTATTGATTGATATATAGGCGAGTATTGGTGACAACGACTGATGCAAATTTCCAAACCGATTGATGTATATTCAAACAATCCGATTGCAAAAACTTTCATCAGTCGTATCGTTAAATGGTGTTTAAGTGTATATTTTAAATATATTAACATTAAAATAATAATTTAAAAACATAAATACAATTCAATTAACTAGTAATCAGTTAATTAATTAATTCAATTAATCAGTACAAAGTTGTTGTATTAATACTTTTATTATTATAAAATTAGTATAACATTTCACATTAATATATTTAATTTATTTGTTAAAACAACGTTATATTATAAGTTTATTAATTTTAATAATAAAACTATTAGAGTTTTTAATTAATGTTTTTAATCAGTTAGCTGTTTATGTAAATAGTTTATATAAATTTAAAATAACAATTAGCCAGCAAAAAATATCTAAACTAAATTATAGTTTAGTAATAGCATGAAAAGTAATTTATATTTGCTAAAATAATAAAACTATTTTTTTTAAATATAAAACTTATTATAATAGTAAGTAATATAATTAGTTATATATTTTATTTCTTTTAAATTAGTAAAAATTATTAATTTCAATATCATTAAATTAAATAACTTTTAAATAAATATATATTTATAAAAATATAATTAGATTTTAGTAGTGTTTTACTTTACATATATAATAATTGAAATAATATTTACTGAAATTTATTTCCAAAAATAAAAAATGATTTTATGTTATATATAATATTGTATTACTAAAAAATTACAACTTTTTAATTAAATAATTAAAAACTAATTAATAAAAAAAATAAATATATTTTTAGATAATAGAATTTCATTTTCATTAATTACTATAAAAATTAAATTATGTTTTTTAATAATATAAAGTTTTAATATATTTATATTAAATAATATTGAGATTAGATAATATTTATTAAACAATTAGTTAAAAACTGATAATAAATATCATTACAAATATAATTTTTAATATTGATAATAATAATAATGTTAATAAAATATATTGAATACATGTATAAATTTACTACTAATTAGCAAACATTTACTAAATATTTCTTAAATTTTATTGGATTAGCTAATTAGATTTATATATATATATTTAATAATAAATATATTGTATAATTTACTAGTATATGATATTATTTATATCATATAAATATTTATTTATTAGCAATAAATAAATATATTATTTGATCGTTATCAGATTTTAATTAATTAAAATATTAAAAAATATTTTTTCTTTCAATTAAAACAATACAAACACTTATATAATTTGAATTTAATATTTTATTTATAATTTTGTTTGTTATTTAACAACAAAGCAAAAAAATAATTTTTAAAACTTTAAAACGAAAAGTTTTATTTCTAGTGAAATAATAATAAATGTAAAATAAAATAAAAATTCAAAAACCAATAGATGAAAGACAGTGCCGACAATAGTATTATAATAATAATAATAATAATAATATTATTATTATTATTACTACTACTACTACTACTACTATTACTACTGTATTATTGTATATATATTTAGGGCCTCTTTTTATTGAATTATAACAATCGGTTACAACAAAATAAAAAGAAAAAAAAAATTTTTTTGTTAACATTAACTTTGATTTCCGGTTTATTTATTTTTTTTAGACAAAACAAAAATTAATACAAAAAATAACAATTTTTTATATGATATTATTATTATTATATATTTTTTTGTTGAATAAATTTTTTATTTAAAATTAATAAATATATAACCAATTGATTGGAAAAACGAAAAATGAAATTCATTGCCGATGATCGCCGCCGCCAGTCACGGATCGGACGTTTTCTGGACAAATCCCGTTTGATTGTCTACCTGGAGGTCGACTGTTTTGACTATTCGGGTCATTGGCCACGTTTCCGACGGCAACATCCATGTGCCGTATTGTGCGGCAAACGGTAAGTAATTAAAATAAAAAATAAAAAGTTATCTAAAATTGATGGCTAAACGCCTCCAACACCTCCTCCTCCTCACTGAAGATTAGTTTCACTGAATAGCGAAGCGATTGCTTTGGGCGCCACCGAAGGTATGACGAGACATCAGGCCCGCCGATGTCGTGGTCTAATACTGGCCAACAAAACCGATGACTATATCGTTGGGGGAAAAGGGGATGAAATAGTTAATCAGTCGACCAATAAATTTCGGAATACTATTGGCCAGTATTGCAATGATAACAACTATGTGTCCGTAATTGAATGGTCGTCGTCGACGGCCACCAGTCTGTACATGGATTTGACCGAAATGACCAACGATTTTGTCACGAATTACGATAATATCTATTATGCGGACACAATACAGACCGGCCGAGCACTGGTCGAAGGACCCGAACATCGATATCTGTTTGTCGACAATAATCAAGGATTAGTCAGAAATGTCGGCAAAAATCGTATGACCAAAGCCCTAGACTTTGTTAACGGTATGCGTCGGTCAATACTTGCCGAGACTGGCCACGAATGTTCGGCTGGTATAAGCTATAACAAGTTTCTGGCCAAACTGGCCGCCCGATTAAACCGACCAATCGAAACAACTGTTTTGGTCAATACGGGTGGTATCGGTCGGGTGTTTCGCGAGCTAACCGTTGATGATGTTTGCAGTGATAATAATGAGATGATCGGCTGCGGCGACGACGGCAATGGTGGCGGCGGTCAAGAGTTAGCCAAACGTATTAAATCGGAACTCGGAGTCCGTCGATGGTCTGAATTGCTAGAGTTTAGCTCAGAAGAGTTGGCGGCTATTGATGGCCAGTCGTCGTCGACGGCCAACAAATTGTGGCAAATGGCCAGAGGTATCGATGACCGACCGGTTGTCGGCGAAAATTTTCCGACCAATTAATTAATTATAGAAATAATTTTTGATTTTTTTAAAAATTTTAAATTACATTTTAATTACTAGTAATTTTCATTTGATATAAATGTACCGTAAATTTGTTATATAAAACGATTGAATGAAAAATGTTTTTTTAATTTAAAGATTTTTAAAAATTATTAATGAGATTAGTATTGAAAACTAAAATACATTATAAATAAAAATATTTAATATACTGTAAAAAATTAATACTGTAGAAAATAATAAATTATACAATAATATATATATATATTATTAACTAATCAATAAAATTTAAGCAATATTTAGTAAAAGTTTGCGAAATTAGTAATAAATTATATCTCGTTTTAAATTAATTTTATTTAGAAAATATCTTTAAGATTACTTTTTTTAAAAAATAAATAAAAATTGACTAAATTTAAATAATTTTAAATAATTTTATGCTTTAATAGAGACTGAAAAAAATAATATTTTTATTATAATAGTCTAAAATTATAATTATCTTAAAAGTTAATTTTTTGAACAATAATAATATTATTATTATTATTATTACTGCAATAATACTTATAAATACATTTCAATAAAAAATATTTAAAAAATACTCGTGTTATTCATTAATAATTAAATATGTACTTAAAGTTAATTATAACATTTATTGTCATCAATAAAAAATATATAATTATCATATACAGTATAATTTTTTATTACTAATAAAAAAATTATAATTTAATGATATTATTTTGATAAATAAAATTTTAACTTAAATATAAAGTATATACTGTATATAAATATATTCTGTTATATAAATATATATTTATATAATAACAGAATTTTCTATATGTTTATTGTTTGTATAATAGTAATGAATATTTTTATTGTAATTAAAAAAATAAATACAATATTTATATATATATATATATATATATATATATTTCAGTAATAAATAGTAACTAAAATTAAATATGCACTTAAATATATAATATTAGCAATAACAACAACAACAAAATCCAAAATAAAATTATTATTTTATTTATTTAATAAAACTATTATCTATATATATAATTGTTGTCAACATTATAATTACAGTATCATATATGATAAAAACATCATATGATTTAATGATTGTATATCATTTAAATAGAAACTTAAATTATAAACATATAGATAATCATAATAGACAATAATAATAATATTTATTTATTTAAAACAACCTTGCAACAAATAAAGTCAAAATAAATTTTAATTAAATAATTTTAATATTAATTTTTTAGGCTATATTTTTTTTTAAAAATGTCTAATAAATATATTGCTGATTGTTTGGAAAAATTTTTATTTAAACATTTTGTTATCCATCGGTCTATCGATGACTATATGGATGATCGGCCCCGAAATAGACGACTGTTTTTAAATATTTTCATTAAAACAATGGTTTTGATGTTTAGCATACGATTCGCTATTTCGGTAATTGCCGATCGACCCGACATTAGTGGACTGGTAGCCGACGGTAACTATCTGTTAGGTAATTATCGGGTATTGTCGACCGTATGTATTGACTGTTCATTGGTTATATTTATGATGGGTCTGGTCTATCAATATCACGATTGCACCCATCAATGGTATGTCTTAGACTTTTTGTATGTCTATAGAGACAACCGATTGCTATTGAAATTAAACCGAAAACATGATAATAGACTGGAAATGTATTTGAAATTTTTGGTCAATTATTATCTGAATCAGTCGTATTGGACTAATGTTATTGTACTGAATGTATGTTTCGGTTATTCACTGGTTATGGCATATTTGGATGAAACAACTACTGGCCAACAATCGGCTGGTAGTTGTTTCACTATCTTGAGTATAATAGTTGGTTTGATATCAAATTATTATGCTATACAACAATTGGCTGCACTAACTAATACTAATTTAGTTGGATTTTTTATCATAAGTTTTTATCTAAAATATAAGTTTTCGGAAGTTTATAATAGTTTTAAAATAATTAAAACTAATGGCAATAATAATCATAATTATCGTCTATTCAAACGGGCAATCAATGAACATACTATACTAATTAGTATTGTCCGTCAATGTAATCATACATTCAATTATATATTGTTTCTACTATACTATATGTCAGTACCCGGTTTTGAATTGATTTTATATTTCATATGCCATAGAAATACTCAACCGATATCCAGGTATATGTTTGGCATTAGTTTCCTATTGATAGTTAACATACTATTTATGGTTAATCTGATGTCTACTTGGGTGTCGACCTATGCTCACAAACCATACGCTATACTTTATAAAGCAATTGCTATTAATGATAATAACAATAATATTAATAATATAACTAATTCACTAACACTGCAACAGAAATTAAAATTATTGCAATTTATTGAACATTTGACGGCACCTGAGATCGGATTTTATTGTCTGAATATATTTCCAATGAATAACTGGGAGTTTTCAATGTTTGTCATCAACTTTATAGCCAATCATTTATTAATATTAGTTAATTTTGCATAGATTTTTCATATATTTACTATATTAATAGATAATTGTTAAAAAAAAATTTTTAAATGTATTAAAAAATGTAATTTACTAATTAAATTTTATTATTTAAAAAACAGTTTTTACCTTATTTTATTTACTGTTTAATATACAAAAAATAATAGATATATTTTTTTATAAACTAAATCAATAAAAATACAGTCAATACTGTTATCGTTAAATGTTTGCTTATTTATAATTACATATATTGTAATCACATTTTTTTTGTTTATTTAGAAAATTTATTATTTTTTTCATTGCTTTATAAAAAAAAAATATTAAACTATTAATATTATACTATTAATAAAAAAAAATATTAATATTAAAATTAGATTTTTAAAATCTATTAAAATAAAATTAAACTTTTTATATAAAAAAAACATATTTAAAAAAAATAATTAACTAGTGTTGCCAAAACATTTAAACGTCATTTTAATCTAAAAATAAGTCAAAATTAATATATAATTGATTTTTATTAAATAAAAAATTAATTAATTAATAATATAATACTAAGCAGAAAAATCATTTTTTTTTGGTTTTAAATATTAATATTAATTTTTTTTTTTTTAAAATAATAAAATGAAAGCAACAATTTTTAATTTTTATTTAACAACTATTATTATTATTACTATTTTGTTGTCCAACCAATTGATCAGTGGTTAGTATCTGTTAAGATTAAGACAATAATAATAATAACTAAAATTCGCAAATAATTTGTGTTTTTGTTGAAATAAAGCAAATAATTTAAAATAATTTAAATCCATCGGACAATATTTTATAGTATTATTTGTTAACAAATTTATTGTTTGAAAATAAGTTGGAAAACAGTAGCCATACGTTTCAATAAACATTTTTTTGATACATTTAAAAATTTTAACAAATTTCCTATTATTATATAATAAACTATTGAATGCATTAGCGACTGATGATTGAAAACATTGTTGACTATTGGGTGTCGACAACAGTTTAATAGCTTTAGTCGTATAAATAATATTTGTTATACTATTTAATTCAATAGTATTTAAATAATTATTGCCGTAATCGTCAAAACTGTTTAAAATAGACATTTGAATTTTTTTAGACATAGTATTAGAAAAACTATTGTTATATTTGATAACAATATTTCTTAGTGTTTTGTTTTAAAAAATAATAATAAATTTTCAGTAAAATTTCTGAAAAATTGATTCCTAAAATGTATGTTAAAAAAATATTTATATTTAAGATCAGCTGGATCATTTCCAATATTTGCATCGATTTGTCTATTGGGACAATCAATATGTGTGCCATCAGTAAACCAAAATCGACATTCAATAAGATCTCCGTAATAATAATATATTGATTCACGTATTCGACGTTTATTAGTAGTGTTGAAAATTTCGGGTAAAATTTTTTCAATATTATTTAAATAATAATTTTTAGTTTTTCGTAATTTTTTATAATAGATTAACATTGATGTTGAAAATGTTTTCAATAGATTAATATGAATATCAATACCTGGTATTTGTATGTAATGTTTGAATTGTATGATTTGTGTTTGAATAGTATATTGCAAATAAATATTAATAACAGCTAATAAATGCCAAATCATTACAGTTAAACATATTAGATATAATAACCAATTGATTATTAAATTAATAATATGTTTATATTTATGAAAAAATCTAACAATATTATTGTTATTGAAATAATGATAATATAATAATAATATTAAGTTATAATTTAATAGATTTCTCATCGATTCTAACATTGTGTATATACTGTATCCCCAAAACATACCGATAAGTCCTCCCAATTCACACCAATAAGCTATGGCCGACATCGCCGGTGAATTTATTATCGATAATTTAAAATCATTTTTAATCTTTATAAAAAATATTTTTAATTTGAAAATATTGTTTAGATTTTTTGAAATTTCTATTGTATTTTTTTCTATATCATACGTATAGTGATTGCAATCGGGTTTACATTTAGTTAGTAATTCACTATAATTGTAACCAACAATACAATCGCTAATATTATTATTATTATGGCTTAGATTATTATAATGATTAATAAGCGAAAAAATTGATGATTTATTATGAATAGGATATTGAATTCAATAGTAATTATAATTACATTTTCTATACTCTCTATCAGTCATTACATTTAACATGCATTCAGTTCGGGATTTTGGTTGAAGTATTAGTCGTCCATCAGTTGATTGTTTGTCGCCATCACTGATATCATAGTTATAGCAATCAGTCTTATAGGGAAACGGCAGATATTGTTGTAGTCTTGAATATATATTATAAACACTGTGTTTATTATATAGCTTAATATCATCCATACGGTGCTGAAAATGTGTCGGTCTATTCAATGTATTTATTTGTAGTTTTAATGGACTCTTATAATCTAATATTAGTTGGATTACTATACCGGTATTTGTCAAACTAGTATCAAATTCATTATCAATGGTTGAA